AGGAGGGGGAGAAGAAGAAGAAGAAGAAGAAGAAGAAGAAGAAGAAGAAGAAGAAGAAGAAGAAGAAGAAGAAGAAGAAGAAAGAGGAAGGTGAGGGGGAAGAGAAGAAGGAAGAGAAAGAAGAAGAAGAAAGGAGAAGGAGAAGGGGAAAGGAGGAGGAGGAGGAGGAGGAGAAAGAGCAATCAGGGTCTTTTCTTTCATAATGGTAAATTTGTTTGTGGTTTACTGTACAACAGTCTAAATAATTTTTTAAGCACTAGATAGATAGCCATCTCTTTCTTCCTTCTGCCATCTCTTTGAGTCACTACCCACCCAGAGGCATGGGTATTTGTTAAACGGTCTTGAGTAAGCCCTGAAAAAAATAAGAATGCCTGTAAAAGGGCTAAGGAGCCAGCCCTCACATTGTTCAAAGAAAAGGCAAGATTCTACCCTTGACTTTCTAAATAGAAACTGTAACATTACACATAATAAGGAACTTAAGACTATGGAGAGACTATGAGCTCAGAGACATATTCTTGAGACATTTCAACTCTGAATCCCAGTGTTGCCATTTACTGGGTACGTGACCATAGGCAAGTTACCTAACAGCTAAGAGCCTTAACTTCCTTATCTGTTAAAAGTGGGTAATAACTACCTTAAAGGGCTATGAGGATTAAGTAAGACAGCACATGTAAGCTCCTGACATGTCAAAAGTGTTGAGTGAACATTCGTTCCTTTCTCTTCCTACTCCATTCCACATCCCCATGAAAGCCCTTCAAATATTTGAAAACAGCTACTATGTCTTTACTGAGTCTTCCTTTTCAAGCCAGCCTTGATCATACTCAGTTTCCTTCGATGGTTTCTCAAGAGACCAGCCCGTCAGCTCCAGGGCAGGGAGTCATTACTTACTCAACTTCGAATATCCCTGTGCCTGGCATAGTATCTGAGAAACAGTTGGTATCCAGGGGATGTTGTCTGCTCAGAATTAAAGTGACCTTCCCATGCCAATCCCAATTCTCAGGAGAAGTCTTCTGCCTTTTAGGGGAATGCTGAGGAATTTTTTTATAGGCAGAAACTATCACCGTGGATTTTGCCCCCGACATTCAGTTGGATTATACTTGCTTTGGTTATCAGCAGGCTCAGGACAAGACACTGCTCCATGTCAAGATTCCCTCAGTCTCCGTCTTCTCATACAATTACCCCACCCCCGCCCTCCATTTGTCTTTTACATTCGTTTTCATGGATCTATTTCTTACATCCTTTTACAAGGAGGCAAGAATGTTTTAAAACATACTCTATTCTCTTTTTCAATATCTCAAAAAGAAAAAACCCTGAATCTAGTTCTCCTGTTAATTAAATATTTTTTTGACTCAGAGGGACCCTGATCTGGGAGGAAATAGAAACATTTGCCAGTTTAGCCTCTCAGGCTCAGTCCTACCTGTCCTCAGCCTGATGGTTTCTGTCTTTCCCCTTCACAGAAAGAGCACACAGTAATACAGATGCTCGTGTCTAATCCCCTTGGATTATAAAAGTGCCTTTAAAGAGCAGATATCAATCACATTTTTGAATAGCACACCTTAGCTGAGCAAACTTCGGCACACCCAGCAAGAGATTTATTTTCTAACTTTGCCTCTGGCCAAGGAGAACAGAGCATTGAAACACCTGAATCAACTGGTATCCCTACTTGTGTCACATGCCTACACGGGGCCTCTATTTTTAAACACATGACTGGCACCCATCTTTCCGGCTAGATCAAATACATTCCATCCTGTGAGCAGAGAGAGGAATCAGATGACACTGAGGTCTCTGCCAGCCCTGTGATTTGTCTAACAGAAATGTAATTGTGTCCTTAAGTCCAAAAAAAAAAAAAAAAGCCAACACCACCCCAAAGATCCCTCAAGACCATAACCAGCAAAAGTCAGTAAATGAATCAAGATACCTCTTCTCCTTCCTCTGGAAGGGCCTGAAGCCAAGACTTAACTGAAGCTGCCCAAAGAAAGAAATGAAAATAAGACAAGCTGGCAGTAGGACAAGGTGGGGGGGAATGGGTTAGTGGCGATGAATCACGGCATTAGACCCGGAGGGTGTCTCTCCCAAACTGTGCAATTAGGGACTCCATAAAAGGCTTGGGCACCTGCCATCAGCACCCAGCCCGCGGCCCCGCATCCTGCATCCCGCTCGCTCTCCCTCGGGAACAAGGTAAGTCTCAGACTCTCTGCTTGAGCACACTGAGGATCTGTGCTGCTGCTTTGCTTATCTGTAAGATTACATGCAGATTTCAGAGGAATCTGAATTAAGTTCAGCACTGTTAACGATGCTGAACTGGGAGCCGAGCCACCAAATGCATCCCTTGCTCCTGGAACTTCTCTGATCTTTTTTTTTTTTTTAATAGAAACTGTATGACAGAGGCATGAACGCTAGTTAACAAGACACAGAACTCAGATCTATATTCCAATGAAAATACAGAGTCATTTAAATGATGGGTGTTGACTCTATTTGTTTGTTTTACCCTAAGTTCACTGAGCCTTGTCTTCTTAGAGAAAAAAAAAAAAGTTATTTCAGTCTGTATAAATAGTGGTACATTTTCTTGGCATTACTTCTCTTTCTTGCACAAGGTTTGCTGACTTCAAAAGCTACACTCTCCTAAGCAGAGAAGTTAGACTGCACCAAGGTGGGGGCAAAACAGGTGGGCACCCCCAGATGAGGCTGGAGGATTGGTCCCATCCTTTTGGCTTTATTTGTGCATTTCACTACGTACTTTGAGTTCTTTTTCCGCCCTGCTTTTGCAATAAATCTTTCTCTCAACATAGGAGCACCACCGTTTTCTGAAAGGTGGGGTGAAGTATGTCTAATACCAACGCGACCCATGCTAGATCTGGCCTCGCCACATTATTGGGTACAAGACCAAATCAGCCCTGAAGTTCAGATACAATATTTTCAGAGACAGAATAGAGCAGCTGGTGCTGGCGGAGCTGGGGGAGGGACAAAAAGAAGGGTGACTTCTTACCTCCTTCCTGAAAGGCCCCTCCTGGGAAGTGAGCTTTGTTTGTCCTTCTCACAGTCTCCTGAGTTTGTCAAGATGCCTCGGCTCCTGAGAGACGTTCTCTGTGTCATCGAGACATTCCACAAGTATGCCAGGGAGAATGGTGAGGAGGCGACACTGACCGGCAGGGAGCTGAAACGGCTCATCCAGGGCGAGTTTGGGGGTGTTCTCCAGGTGAGGACTCACAGAGCTGTGTGAATTCTTCCCCAGCGCCCTCTCTCCATATTCCAAGCAGGATGGGCATCAGTGCTCTCTGCCCATTTCACACCTGGCTACCAGCTCTCAGCACTCACTGATTTTGAACAACTTTTGTCAATCTCAGCTCCCTACTCTATGCAAAATGTTTAGCCAATCTTACAGAGAAAAATGAGGTTTCCTCACTGGGACTCTTGCTTCAGCAAAGGAGGCTTGGGGGGGGGGGCAGTTGTGAGCCAGTAGGCATCTAAATTCAACTCGCACGTGGTGTAAATGCTCCTTCTTGGCCACAGTTCTCTCATGATAAATGGCATCCAGAATGAACAAATTCTTACTATGTGGGGGAATTTCACCAGTTCCTGAGGAATCAGGTTAAAAAATGAGTACTCTTGGGAGAAATGAATACACTCGAGACACTTGACCCTGTGTAAATAGGCTGATTTGTCCCTGTGTTTCCATGCAGCCACGTGTCATTCATGCTGTGGAGAGAAATTTGACTCTTCTGGATATTGACAGTGATGGCACCATCGGTTTTGATGAGTTTGTCCTTGCTATCTTCAACTTGTTGGACCTCTGTTATCTCGACATACAATCATTACTAAATTCAGAACCAGGACAAGTGTCTGAACCAGAAGAGAAACCAGATGATGTGGACCTTCAGGCAACCGGCAGAACTGGGCAATGGACAGAAGGACCCCCGCGCGCTCAAGACGCAGTAGTTCTTCCTTCAGGAACAGCGTCATCAGCTCAGCTCAGCGCTGAGGAAAGGGGGTACAACAGGGTGGACCCGCAGGGAGACATCAAGACTCACAAACTGCCTGGGGAAGCATCCGGGCACAGTGACCCTGAGAACCAACCCCTGGGAGGAGCTGAGCAGAGCCAGGAAGTGACCCAAGATGTACCAGCAATAGGAGACAAAGGGGCCCAAATTGAGACAAATAAGCCGAAAGCAGGATCCGAACAGACTGGCAGTCCCACAAAGGGGGATGGGCAGGATGAGGAGGCTCCCAGGAAAGGAGACGAACCAGCCCAGGAGCAAAGTGCCGCTGAGACAAGAGACCAGTTTGGAGAACAGGACGGGAACTTGGGAACCCAAAGTTCTCCATCAGAAGAAACAACTCAGAGACCACCTGACAAGCAAGAAGTTGTAGCAGAAAGGGGTGTTCTGGAAATTTCTAATACACAAGAACAGCCACCACCCAGTTCAGTGCGTGCTGACATGCCAGCACGCGCTGCTGCCTGGAAACCACTGCAGACCCAGAAATCACCCGATCCTGAGGATGAGGGCAGAACAGCCAAGACTCGAGAACCAGGAAAGGATGCTGACAGGACACTACCTGAGACAAAGAACCCAGCTGAACTAGAGGATGATGGTAGAATGTCTGAGACCCATGAGCCCCCAGCACAAGAAAAAGAACATGAAACAAAGGACCGGTCCATGCAAGGTGATAGCAGAAATGTTTCAGAAACGACTGATGTTCAAACTGAACAGAAAGATGGGGGAGGCCCTGAGGCCCGTGGAACAGAAGGGCAGGAAGAAAGTGAGAGAAAGACTCAGCTACCAGCCCTGGAAGACAAAGCACAGGGTGGGAAGAGTCAGGAACTCCAGGAACCATCAAAAGAAAGGGATGCTAAAGAAGGTCCTAAGACACAAGAGTTAAGCGCCAAAGGAGGAGATCAGAATCATGCTGAAACAGGAGCCATCGCTGCAGGAGACGAGGCAGGACAAGCGGAAGAAGGCACCGCAGAAGCCCCTGTGGGCAGCAGCAATGCCCCTGCAGCAGAAGGAACACCAGGGGCAAGGGAAAGACAGTGGCAGATGGCACCGGGGGAGAACAAGAGGGTCCCCAAGACTCACGACAAGTCAGTCAAGGAGGATGATGGTCACCAGGGGGGCCCTCCTGAGCCAAGAGTCACACAGAGTGATAAAGGGTCTCCTGAAACCTGCAACTGCCTGACTCCAGAGGACGGTGACAACAGCTCTGAGACAAGTGACCTGCCTGTGCAAGGGGACTCCCAGCATCAAGGAGACCCACTCGGAGAGTCTATGCAAGGAAGTCACAGTAAAAACCCAGACGCCCAGAAACAGGTAGCCCTGGGTGAGGCAACCAGAACTCAGGAGGCAGTGGTGCCAACGGTCGCCGGAGGACAGGATGAGCCACCCGTGGAGGACCCTGACGGAGAAGCGCCCAAGAGTCGGGGCTCAGGCACCAGAGGCCCAGGCCCAGCTGTGGAGCCCACTGCACACCCAGAGGCACAGGAGTCCACGGTGCGAGGTGAAAACAGAAAGTCCCCAGAGACAGAGACCCCAGGAGCCGTGAGTGCAGACTTCACCGACCAGCTTCTCCTGATGCAGCTCCCTAGGAAGGAAGACAGCAAGACAGAGCTCAAGATCCAGCGCCCAGGCACCAAAGAGGAGGAAGATGGGGCACCCAAGGCCCAGGAGGCTCCAGTGAAAAGTCTAGATGAGGACAATCCAGCCTCCCCCAAGACACACCTTGAAACAGAGGACCCTGCCACCTTGGAGGAGGAGGATGAAAGCCCCCAGGGGCTGGCAGGAGAAGGTGATGACCAACAAAATCCAGCCAAGGGGGGGCCTTATTCTTCAGTCCCTCCATCAGCCCTTGAAGAGAGGACTCAGAAGGACCAAGAGCCCCGCTGTGCAGAGAGTGGCACCTTCCCTTCCAGTCTACTGTACGAGTACCTACAGGAGACACTCCGGCAGCGAACAGACAGAACTGCAGGGCAGCGTCAAACTCAAGGTCAGACGGCCAGGGCATCAAGCCCAGAGCTCCACAAGGACCAGCTCGCCACTGACCTCTCGGGTCGTCCTGTCTCTTTCGATGACTGCTAAGCATTATGGCAGTACACCGGGGAACCTCTGCCTGGTGAGGATCCTGCTGACACTCAGCAAACATCAGCTCCCCAAGCCTTGGCAGAAAAGCAAAGCCATCTTCAGAGAGGAACCAGACCCACAAAGAGAGGGGAGCACCACAAAGCAATGAGTCCTCACAGGTATCCCAGGAGAAGTTCCAAGACACTGTCCACTTGAACATGCCCCAGATTCCTCCCTCCTGATCACCCTCAACACTCACATCCGATGCAGATTAATAATCCTTTAAATTCCCTTCCTAAATTGCTACAAGAGCAAAAAATAAAGTATTCAGCAGTGGGAGCTACCACCACGGACGGGTCACACCAAACAAACATCTTACCGTATGATGCTACCTCCAAGTGCTAAAATGGACTTTCTCATGAGACAATTTATCAGAAGTTATCTGTCACTAAAATTGGAAAAGTCCCTTCCATATCTTTAACAGATGCCAATTTCTTCAACTATTCATTGGTTTTTTAATAATGTGGCAATTGGAAGAACGAGACTTCACAAAACTATCTTATAATAATAAAATATCATTCCTTCACAGATGTAGGTGATTCTGCTTAATGACATTTCCTGCACAGATCTCAAGTTTATCCCCAAATTTTCTCTCTCAAAATCATCTCAGATATAACTTGAAATAACTGTGACTTTCTAGCACCCAGCTAAAGTAGATTCATGACTCTATGCTCATGTCCAGGTGCAACTAAATCGATGTCATAGATTCATTCATTCATTCATTCATTCATTCATTCAACAAACTTTTATTAAATATCAGCCATTTCATAGTTTCTGGCTCAAATAAGAAATCAGAATAATTATAAAGGGGAAAGAGGATACAAATCTGAAGTACGCTTGATTCTATAAGCTCTTGTAACCAACAACCACTAAGTCTACAAAATGCTTACCCACATGGTTTGCCGAGGGCACTGTATTAAAATTAACAATTAAATAACCTGACAACCAATATCTTTTGTTGGTTTGTTTTTTTCCCTCATTTTCCTTCCAGCCTTAAAAACATTGATCAGAAACAGAAACTATCTTAGTGATTTGTGTTTTCTTAAAAGAACTATAATTAAAGGATGATATTCTCAGAGCTTAGTAATGACCCAGGAAAGGAATAAAATAATTATCACATAATGTTTCCTGAAGCCAAAATACTCCACCTCCCACTGCATTCTGCCTTCGAGGCTCAATTTTCTTCCACTTCAACTCACACCTCTTCCAGAATCTCAAATTCTCCTCTATTTCCTAGCCCTCCAACATTTTCAGCTCTTTTTATTCTACTTACAAACATGAATGAATATCCCTATCTAAAAAAAAAATTATCTTAAATGAGCAAGAGACATGAGACAATTCACAAAAAAGAAAAATACATACTAGAGCATAAACTAAACATCCTTTTGGCAAGCAACTGGGAAATATATGTCAGCAACCATAAAAGTCACAAAGGCCATGAATAATAAATTCCCAGAAAAAGCTATACAGATGACCAATAAATATATGAAATCCTTACTAGACTTTAAAGAAGTGCAAATTAAATATCATTCTTTCACTTATCAAAGTACTAAAGGTTGTTTATTTTTAATAGTGAGATTAAGAGTGTGGGGGAACAGAAATTGAAATCCAGATAAGTGTATAAATGAGTACAACTTCCAAGAAAGCAATGCAATAATATGCATAAAAATATTTTAAATATTTCTGAGATAGCATTATAAAGAAATAATCAGGGATGTGCATAAAGATCCATCTACAAAGATATTAGTCATAGCGAATTAAAGATAGAAAAGCCAGCCGCTGAGCTGCCAACAGGTGGCAGGATGGCTCAGCTAAAAAAAAAAAAAAAAAGATAGAAAACCCAGAAATAACCTAAATGCCTATCATTATAGGAATAGCCAACTAAATTATGTTTACTAGCGACTATGGAATGCCAAAAACCATTAGAAATCATGAGATAAGATATTATTCAATTAAATGAGGATTGAAAGATACTGAGCTTTGAGTGATATAAAATGGTAGATAGAGTACGATTTCATTTAAAGATTAATAGATGGATAAATAGGCAGAGTATGAGGGTAAAATCTTAAAAGTAGTTATATCCAAGTAGGGCAACTATAAATGACATTTACTTCCTGTTTGAGATTTTCTTCATTTTCCAATTTTTCATAATGAAAATGTGATACATTTGCAATTAGAAAAATAAATGCTATTTTTAATAACTAATTAATAACTTTTAACTCTAGCCACAAGAAATAATCTAAAATAGAAAAAAAAATCTCTTCACAGAGATGTTCACACCACCATTATTTATAATAATAAAAAGCACAGAAAATTGAATTTCTAATAATAGTTTATGAAAATTAACAAATATCCCCTTGATGGTTATTATATAGTCTCTAAAATGTGCACTTATGAAGCATCTGCACAAAACTCCTTATGTGGGACAGCATGATATTCTGTGCTTATAGCCTATCATCTATACTTGAAAATACACACATACATACCCTTGAATGACATGGGTTTGAATCGCATGGGTCCACTTATATACAGATTTTTTTTTCAGTAAATACATACAGTACTGTAAATGTATTTTGTCTGCCTTATAATTTTCTTAATAACATTTTCTTTTCCCTAGCTTAATTTATTGTAAGAATTCAGTATAAAAAACATGTAACATACAAAATATGAGTGAATCAACTATTCATGCTATTGGTAAGGTTTCTGGTCAACAGTGGACTATTTGTAGTTAAGTTTTGGGGGAGTCAAAAGTTATACTCGGATTTTTTACCAAGGTGGGAGTCAGCTCCCACTAACCTCTGCATTGTTCAAGGGTCAAATATATATCTGTATCCATCACCTTCCCTGAAATGTGTTTCCACTTCCTTTCTACTTGTCAATCACACTGGCCCTTCAAGTCTTAGACTACACCCTCCTTCTGCCAGGAAGCTCACATGACCCTTTAACTGCTGGGTCATTCACAGCCTGCACCGTCCAGATTAACTCCTTATGCTTATTGGCTAGTATTACTCACTAATTATTCTTTGAGTGTTATTTCCCCCACTTAATAGGTTATAAGCCACTGTAGAGAAGTAATTTTTCTTCTATTCTAATGCCCTACATATCCTTGAGCAAGTTACTTAAGCTCCTCAGCATCTACCTATAAAATAAATCACTCGAAGGTGTGTCTAAATCATTCAAGGAACATCACTCCTACTAGTTATTATAGCAAAGGTGAATAAAAATCCATGCTCTGCCTTCAACATGCCAGGAGAGAGGTATGTAAGAAGTGAGGAAATGAGGCATAAAGGCAGAATGGAGCAGTGGTTAAGGACTTGGGCCTGGGAGTCCGGCTGTACCCAGGTTACCACAATCCTAGGGTTGCCGCTCACTTACAGTGTGTCCTGGGCAAGTTACTTATCCTCTCCGTGATTCCGGTTGTGCATCCGTTAAAAATGTTGCATAAAATCTCAGGAAGTTCCCCCAGCGAGTCCTAAACATAAGTTAGGAACCCCTCTCTGGGCATTCCTGAACTTCAGAAGAGGAGGTCAGCTTATAGTCCATAGAAAGGCTGAGTGAGACCCAGGGAAGGGAAGTGACTCACTCAAGGTCACCTAGCCCCTGTTGGGAAAGGCGGCCGTATGCACGCAGTCCTTCACCTCTGCTCTGCCACATAAGAATGGATCTTGAGGGCCAGCCAAGTGGCTCAGTTGGTTAAGAGCTCGCTCAAGAGTTTGAGCTCTGAGCAACAGCGGTTCGAGTCCAGCCCGAGCTGAGCAGCCNAGCAACAGCGGTTCGAGTCCAGCCCGAGCTGAGCAGCCACTGAGCTGCCAACAGGTAGCAGGATAGCTCAGCTTAAAAAAAAAAAAAAAAAAAGAATGGATCTTGGGCCCAGAAACACTTCCTTACTACGAGATAAAGAGCCCACACAGCCTGGAATGTTCCAGGCTTATCACCTTGTGTGGGAATATCTTTCTCTGTTTCAGACTCCTTGGGGACTCCTTTGCTGTGCTTTAAGCACGTGCATCCTATGACACCTAGCCCACTGCTACAGTGTCCCCTGCAGGGAGGGGACAGGGTCCTTCATTCTGGGGCACAAGAGGGGTGCACGCAGGCCAGTGGCAGGGCCTCCTGAGCCCCGCCCAGCTCCTTGGGATCTTTAATGTTGGCCTGGACAAGGGCCGACTTACTTCACTGCTTATTCTTATCTTTACTTATCTTTACTTATCTTCAGCTTACTTCACTGCTTCATCCCCAGGAGAGCATGCAGGGTCTGGGCCCAGAAGTCTAAATGGGACAGAAACCAAAAGGCTTAATTAACAGTCTGAAGCAAAGAGCTCTCCAAGGCCAGCTTTTCCCTCCAGCTCAGCTTCCCCCACCCCAGGAGGCGCCATGCTGAGTCACTGACAGCACCTGGCTGTGACACATCCATTGAAGGTGCCGGTGGCTGAATAGTGGCCCCTGATTAAAGCCTTCAGCGAGGGCAAGTGGAGGCCAGTTCCCCCCTCCACTCCCCCAGGCCGATCAGAGCCACCTTGTGCTTACATCTCAAGCCATCCCACCCGCCCCACCAGGCCACATGAAAGTTCCCGCTCCTTTCCAACGTTCCTGACACGGAGTACGCAGCGTGCAGTAAGCCAAGGGCTCTGATTAGAGAAAGCTCAGCCTTGTGGCCCGTCTCCGTGCAGAGACGCGTGGTCTTTTATCCGGGTGAGAAGACGGGCTCCGCACCCCAGTTTTCAGCCGCTCTTCTGGTCTATGGAGTCTGAAGACACCCCCACACGTACACACCGCCACCAGCACGCTGTGCTCGTTGAAAGGGCCAGACTCCCAATGCTGTGGGACACAGTGCACACAGACCATTGTGTGCGAAGCGCAAACCGCCCTGCTCCTCAAACAGTCCACGTTCCATCCGGGGCCGAGCGAGATCACAAGAAGGCCACACAAAGGGACCGCATGCATCTACGCTTCAGAATTGCCTTCACGGAACTATGTTGTCAAGCCACACGCCCAATCCTTTTATACCCAGTGAGGAACAACTCCCCATTCACAGCCTCAGTTGTTGTCAAAACCACAGGCAGCAGATATGAAATTCACCACCAGTTTGGCTGTCGAAACGCTGCTGAGAATTTTGTCCATTTCATCATGAGGTGCCCACCCTTATAAAGTCCCAGGGAGATATCCCTTTTAGAATTCAATGCTAAAAAATGCTGACTCCTCATAAAAAGAGTGACATCTTCCTTCCCAGTCGTTAGGG